AAATAATGTCAATATAAAGTCTGTAAGTACATTCAGAAGTGTGTTCATAATATTTCCTGGTTGTATCTTTACATTTGACTTGTCAGTGGAAGGTAGTTTAATAGTCTCATCAGTATCAGAGATATATATATCCCCCAGGAGAAGTTTCAGTTCAGAAATCGTCAGAGCTCTTAAGATTATATAAATACTTTGCTTTGAGTTGCATTCATTCTTTTTAAGACTGCTTTCTCTTTTGTGTACATCTCCAGTGCACTTTTCTTCACAGTCCTAAGGCCCCAAGCTGTGTGCATTGATCCATTTTTGTTGTAATTCTGTTCCTGATGGATGAGGCTTTTGAGTTTGCTTTCCCTCTGGATAAACTCATATTGCAGGTGGCCTCTTAATGTTTCTTTTCTCCATTTGATAAGTAAGAGGTTAATGAATGCATTATAGACGTGTGGATACAAAGTCACTTTATACCCAGTGAGAAGTGGGATAACTCTTGTTTCTGGGAGAGGGAGAGGTGAGGGGATGTTAAAGCAGTATGTAGCAAAGCAAACATTCTTCTGATGTGGATTTATATAGAAGACTTTTGTTGTTTCTTAGTATTAAAGCAGAAAAAAGTACAACTTGCAGACGAAGAGCTGTCTGTAAATGTGTTAAACTGAAGGCACAGTTCTCCAGTGTTCATAACAAGTAGGTAGATCATGCAAAGTATTTTACTGGAAAACCAAATGTCTCTGTTTTCTTCAGCTGTAGCATCATTTCCATATGAAGAGGAGTCGAGACCTCGGCCACCATCTTCCAAAGCAGCTATTCCTCCTCCAGCGTATGATGAGCCAGAAAGACCTCGTTCCCCCACAGGACCTAGCAACTCTTTCCTTGCTAACATGGGGTAAATGATTGACTTATGCTCATTTTGTGGAAAAAGGTGGTGGAAACCAAAAGTTAAAATAGTTTGTCAATAGAGAAGAACACATCCCACCACATGTCAGAGTGCATATAGTCCTAACTGGCAGGATACAGGAAAAGCTGTGGATTTACTTGATGGAGAGAAACACATTTGAGGTGGTTGTGTTCAAGGCTGTGCTTTTAAGTGAGTTCTGAAGCCACACTCTATGGTATAAAAGTGTTTATGGCTTTTCCAAGCCAAGCTAATGCAGTACACAGGAAATCACAGATGGCATGTTAGTTCCTCTAGGTTTCTTTTCCAGCTTTGTCTTAAATGTGCTACATACGAGAGGGCACATCACTTCAGCTCTGCTTTGTTTGTTCAAAAATTCAAAGCATATTTGCAGGAATGTGGCTGCAAATCTGTCCAGTTACTTTTCTGCCTTGAATTAGCATCATGTGTAATTTTTGTGTTACCACTGTGGCAACAAGGGGAAGCTGAATTTATAGCTAAAAACATCTTGAGATCTCGTTTGAAAGGTGGTTAGATGTGCTACTTTAACAGTTGCATTGGGTGCTGTGGAAATGGAGCCTCAGTGTAACCAAAGATTATTACACTGCATTTCCATTTTGGAGATGATTTTTAATGCATTTCTTTAATAGAAACACTTCGTGCAGTGAAAGGATAATCAAACTCAGGACTGTTAGACCAGTTTATGCATTGTTACTACCTGTAGTTAGCAATACCCTGGGACCTTCAGACCTTCGCTTCATTGAAGGAAGTGTTAAATGTAAGACCTAAACTGCCTTGCTTTGACCACACAATTGGCTACTGTTAGTTCTGTGACTCAGTGTCTTAACCTTTCAGCATTACATAGCCAGACTTTGTGGCCTTTTTCAACGTGTCTTTGTATGTTTCATGTAGTATGCTTGGAAAATAGTCATATAGTCACTGATCCTGCTTTGTCTGTCTAATCTTATGTGCCTATTGATAAAATGGGGGTGACTGAGCATAGAATATTCACTGTGGTTTAAACAAGTAAACCATGACATGGTTTTTGTGTCCTTACTTAGCTATGGTCTCCAAAGAAATGTCAACATGTGTAGGTATATTTTGATTCTGAACATTCATTCAGTGGGAATTTCAAAACCTGTCAGTGGAGGTGCTTTTTGTAATGTACTTAAGGGAGAATGGTTTTAAACTGAAAGAGGGAAGATTCAGATAGGATATTGGGAAGAAGCTCTTCCCTGTGAGGGTGCTGAGGCGCTGGCACAGGGTGCCCAGAGAAGCTGTGGCTGCCCCATCCCTGGCAGTGTTCAAGGCCAGGTTGGACACAGGGGCTTGGAGCAACCTGCTCTAGTGGAAGGTGTCCCTGCCCGTGGCAGGGGGTTGGAGCTGGAGGAGCTTTTAAGGTCCCTTCAACACAAATCACTGTGATTTTACTGCCTCGTTACATTCTTGAAAATCCTGAAAGATGAGACGTGTTTAAATTAATACTGAGGATATCCAGATTTGTTAGAGCATGGGCTGGCTTAGAGGACACATTAGAGCATGCGTCCTCTGGAGCTAATGCCGACTTGGAACTGACAGTGGAATCTGATTAATATGGGAATTAGATTGTTCTGCATCTACCTTTTCTCTCAAGCTTTTGATAGCAGCCACTGACAAAGAAGAGAAACTGGACTAAATAGACCTTCATCTAATCTGGTTTGCAATCTATTGTCAGCAGCCTGATCTAGTGAAAAATGTCCCTGCCCATGGCAGTGGGGTTGGACTAGATGGTCTTTAAGCATCCCTTCCAACCCAAGCCATTGTATTGAGTGTATGATGCTGGCTTGTGCTGGGAGGGGGAGGTGGGGGGGGTCTAAGAAGAGAAACTGGACTAAATAGACCTTCATCTAATCTGGTTTGCAATCTATTGTCAGCAGCCTGATCTAGTGAAAAATGTCCCTGCCCATGGCAGTGGGGTTGGACTAGATGGTCTTTAAGCATCCCTTCCAACTCAAGCCATTTTATTGAGTGTATGATGCTGACTTGTGCTGGTAATGGAAGTTGGGTGGTATCTGTAAAAGTATGAACAATTTTCTTTAGTCAATTTCTCCGACAACTCTTCCATCTAATTCAGGGATAACACTTTTCATCTTCACAGGGTGCTCTCAAATTGGTAGCTTGTCAAGTCCTATAGAACCTCTTATGTTTTCAGTCTCTGTGTAATGAGGTTTTTAGGAGGTAGAATGTTCAAGCACTCAGGAAAAAAGCAGTGTTAATGTTTTGTGGAAGAAACCTTTCTAACTGATGCTTTTTCTCTTTTCAGTGGGACAGTGGCTCATAAAATCATGCAGAAGTATGGTTTCAGAGAGGGCCAGGGGCTGGGAAAGCATGAACAAGGGCTGAGCACAGCACTGTCAGTAGAGAAAACAAGCAAGAGGGGTGGCAAGATCATTGTTGGCGATTCTACAGAGAAAGGTAATTTTGTCCTACACCAATAAGTTTGTGAGAAATGTTCAGGGGCAAAAGAATAGTTCAGGCCCAGTGGAAGCTCCTGGATTTATTAGTTTACCATCTGTCCTTGCAGAAAATACTGGTTAGGGTTGGAAGAATGACTCATATTCCTTCTTGTGGGAATTTATCTTTTTTAATGTGATCCTCTATTGATTTTTTTTTAGCTCATCCTCCTCTTCCTCCATCAGTTGTCCTCCTTAGTGTTCTCTTCAAGGGGTGATCCTGCTCTGTTCCTGCTGGCTTCCTCCCTGTCGCATGCTTTAGATGCTGCTCTCATTCCCCTGCTGTTCTCTGATCTAGAGACAAGACAACATCTAGGCTTACTAGAACAGCACCTCTGCCTAAGCACAAGTGTTGGAAGTCAGGAGATCTGATTTTTAGTTCTTCGGGAGTCTGATACAATCCTGAACTGATGAATTATTTCCCTCAAAGAAATAGTACATTGACAATGTTGAGCTTAATTCACATTCTGCAGAAGTGATTTGTCTTCTTACTGTCCTTACAAGTAGAATTACTGTTCTTACAAGTTCTGAATGACTATTCCTCATTAATATGAAACTACATTTTGTGGCTTTTATTCTGTTGTTTGACAACAGATTCTGGTAAAAGCCCCCATATAAGTTTAAATGAGCTTTAAATCTTCAATTTTCCCATGATTTCGCTGTTCTGTCTTCATAGAAACAGGCAAGAAAGCGGATTCTAACCCATTGACTGAGATACTGAAATGCCCAACTAAAGTGGTCTTACTAAGGGTAAGTTGCGAGTAAGAGAACATCCCTTGGTGCTCACAGCATCTGTGGTTGAACTGTTTTAAGTCTGTGTTCCTGTTACAATTACTCTGTACAGTTGAAGTGGGTTTGGGCAGCATCTACAGAGTACTTTGTTCTTCTGGGGAAAATATGTGTCTTTCAGAGATACAACCTGTGACTGTAAATCAATAGTGCTTTAGGTTATACAGTTACCTTGTCTTTGTAGGAGGGAACTCTCTCCTTCTGGGGCTCTTGACTGGTAAACAGAAGCATAGAGTATTTATGGTCACAGTTGCATGCATCTGTGGTTTGTCTATGTAACGGTCTGTACTGACTACATCCAGTGAGTTGGTTTGTTCTTTTAACTTCCAGAACATGGTAGGTGCTGGGGAGGTGGATGAAGATCTAGAAGTGGAAACTAAGGAGGAATGCGAGAAGTATGGCAAGGTTGGGAAATGTGTCATCTTTGAGGTAAGAGATAATCTGTCTCATTGTGGCTGCTCTGAAAGCAAACTGGGCTCTTGTCCCTCTCAACTGGCTTGTTACTGCCTAGGAGAAGGGGTGTAGATTAGGAGATCTCACGGAGTCCTTTCCTGTGTTGTGAGCCTGGATTTTCTGTATCTGTAAAACACAAACCTAGAATCAGAAACTAGGCAAAAATCTGTGGGTATTGTGCTTTTGGAACCTTTTTAGTGTTTTGTTTTCGCTGCTGCTGTGAAGAACAGCAATTTATGACAGTATTTTTGCTACTGTTCTAATTCTGATCTTGGGTGTTCCGTTTGTTTCCTGGTTTCTTTCAGATTCCTGGTGCCCCTGATGATGAAGCTGTAAGAATATTCCTCGAGTTTGAACGGGTTGAATCTGCCATCAAAGGTAGGCTACTAAATTGTGTCCTGTGAACCTCCGAGTTAACTGCTATAGAGACACTGAATGCTCTCACTGATTAAAGTGGTTATTTTACTGACTTGCTGTTTTCTGACCTGTCATTGGTTTCACTTTCAGCTGTCGTGGATCTAAATGGAAGATACTTTGGGGGCAGAGTCGTGAAGGCTTGTTTCTACAACCTGGATAAGTTCCGAGTCCTGGATCTGGCAGAGCAAGTTTGATTTTAAAAACCTAGCTCGAGGTGGCACTGTTCTGGCAATCATGTTTTCAGCAGTAGGCTGGGAATAAGGAAGAGCAAAGTAGCTTTCCTAGCAAACTGGAAACAAGCCTCATTGAATGGATTTTTCACATTCGTTGTGACTTAACATTTTTCTTTTTGTAATATAAAGCCCTTTGAAAGTCAGATTTCACGTCTGTGTGGTTTTGAATTGCACAATTCTGCTTATTGCTCTGGGGATCTGGATTTTTTTTGGAGCTTTCAGACGACGTGGTTCTTTTGAAAACCCACTGCTGAGGAGATGCTTTGGCTGTATTCCTGCTTTCCTTGTTCTGGTGCTTCATCACGGAGTCCCTGTGCTGCCTCCACAATAAGTGGGAAGCTTTGGAGAAGGACTGTGTGCTGTCATGCTTCTCTTCCCTGATGGTATCTCTCTGAGTTACATTGCAGCCTTGCTCTTGTAAGTCCTCTGCACACCAGAGTGATTTGGGGTCGTTGGACAGTTGGCAGCTAGTTTGTTCGTACCTGACTCCAGAACAATACTTTCTATGGAGACTAACGTAACGAGGAATGAGTCTGTCTTTCTTCCCAAATCCAAAGAATATACACGTTTAACCCAGGGAAATGGAAGGAGGAAGGATTTTAAACTGCTTAGCCATTTGAATCTGAATGACTGGACTGTTAGCAGGAGCTTTGTGCTGCCAGACAGTCTTTGAAGAAATATCCAGGGTTAACTGATGACAGGTTGTTACTGAAATCCCATAGGTAGAACTGAGGGAAACTCATTCTTATGTCTCAGATTATCAGTTCCTGTAACATCACGCATAACTAACATTTTGTTTCTAACCTGGCCATTGTTACCTCTCTCTATTTCTATATGTGATGTCAAATAACACCAGAGTTAGTTCTTTTCTTCTGAGGAGTGCCAGTGGAACATTTCAAAGTAGGAGGGGATGGAGGAGAGTTCTCATATGTAACTCTGAAGAGTACAAACTAAACTACTAAACACTAGTTTTTGATAATCTAATGTAAAATCGTACCTAGCACTCTGCTCCTGGTTGATGTTTGCTTTTTGTTTGAGAACAGTATGTGACAAAGAGTTGAAAAGGGGTGGCTATACAATGATGGCAGTTGTCTCTGTGCTCCATTGCACCTAGGATTGAGCAGATATTAAAATGGAAGTGAGCTCTGAGGGCATTTTAGCTGTTTGAAGGCTGATGCTGGATGTCTTCTTCCTGTTATACACATGTTTGGGGGGGAAGGGGTATAGACCTGTAGTTGATCAACGCTGTGAATATCTCCAGTTATTGGCCTTGTATTAAGTTTGGGCTGCAGATCTATATGGGAAACCCTTGGTCTTGTGTTTCACTTATTTTGTCTGCTTGTGTTCCACCAACCTCTGTACAAACATTTGCTTGTAAACCAGAAATCAGTTTTTAAAAAAACCCTTGTATTTTACTTACTGTGTGTTGGCTCCCTTACTACCCTCTTGTGTTGCACAGGGCCTCTCCGCAGAGTCAGTCACTGCTGCTGTTGGCAGTTGCTGTGATCCACCATTAGACAACCTCACTGCAGCAGAGGTGGAGAACCAGCCTGACTAATAACTAAAACCACAGGACTTGGCAATAACAGAATCTCAGTTGTGTTATTGGCTCTGTTGTTAGTTTTCTGTTGCACTTTGAGCAACATTTTAAAGCCTTTTGCTGCTATCATAAAGTCATAGAATGGTTTGGGTTGGAAAGGACCTTAAGATCACCCAGTTCCAACCCCCTGCCATGGGCAGGGACACCTCACACTAGACCATGTCACCCAAGGCTCTGTCCAACCTGGCCTTGAACACTGCCAGGGATGAAGTATTTACCACCTCTGAGCAAGCTGTTCCAGTGCCTCAGCACCCTCACAGTAATGAACTTCTTCTGTGTATGTAGTAAAACAAATTACCTAGTATAAATTAACATAGATTTGCTTACAAGAGTCAAATAATTTGGGTGGCATACTGTAGCAAGTTAAGCACTGATAACAGATTTAGTGTGATCTGAACTTAGCTTGAAATATAACTCAGCTTTAAGCAACGTGATTTATTTATGGCTCTTATTTCAGCGAATACCTCTGTTCTGAATGACTAACTAAGCACTTCCTGGGGTGTGCAGGTTATTTTCTGTCTCCTAACCAGCTGTTCCACTGTTTTCTCTGTAATCCAGCTTCTGAGCTTCCAGTTTGATGAGATGATGCTCTTCCATTTGGTGAGAATTGCTCTACCTGCAGGTTTTGAACCATTTAGTTCTAAAACCCCATACTGTGGTTGAAGACTTACAGGTAAAGTTTACCCCTGGAAATGTAGGAGAGAAGACTGGTTCCTTTAGTGTTTTGTGTAGGAGATTCATGCTATAAATAAAGTATTTCTCTGTACCATGGGCTCACTAAGATAGCAGAAGTGTTAGTAGACACACACTGCTGTACTTTCATCTCTTTGTGAGTGCTGTACATGGCAGGGGAGGTTTGTGAACAGTTATCCTTAGGTTTTTCCACAGCAAATGCAAGCACATAAGGGATGTGGAAACCTGGAAAGGATCAGACACACTGGCTGAGGTCTTTAGTCAGACTTTTTATGTCATGGATAATGTAGTTGGGAAGCATGGTTTTGCAGATACACATTCTTCCACTTGGCCTGCGTTGATGTGTTGGCTCAGACTTTCTTGGGTATGGCTGTGTCTTGCATGCCTTGAAAAACTGAGTTCTGAATTTAGTTCTCTACTTCCTACCTCCTCTGGAATCTTGTCACTGACTTACATCTATTTCTAGTAGATTCTCGAATTAACACCTCCAGCTCTTCCTGCTTACACATCCTTTTCTTCCCCCCCTTCCATGATTCATCGGCGCCCTCTCGAGAGGCTCAGCAGCACTTAATTTGGAGTTCTTCATGGCAGCTACGAAGTTTTATTTGTTTCTTTCTCTTTGCATACCTGATATTGTGCACCCTCCTTTTCATGTAAGGTTTGTACTTGTCACTGTGGCCTGAAGCAGTAATATTTTAGTTTCTCTTTTGTGTGGTGCCTTAAAAAGTAAAGAAAATGAAGAGAATGGTGGCCTGTTAGGATAAATTTGCCTTATTGGCAGTACAGGGTTGGTTATACTGCTTCAGATAAAGCTCTTGGTATTTTTCAGGCCTGATTTCCTATCATTAGGCTTTAATTCCATGTGTTAAGGACCCACATAAATACTCTGGTTCCCTGAATACCCGAGTCTCCTGTTGAGGTAACTATGAGCTGTTTATTACTACCGGGAATCTAGATTAGATGCCTGCTTAGGAGGGATTTGACAGTGTCCCAAAGCTAACAGCAAGCTGAGAGGGATGTGTAGGACGTGTCAGCCTGAGCTGAATGAGGTGTCCCTAGTGCGTTACTAACCCTGAAGTCTCTTGGAACAGGGATTTGCGTAGTGGCATAACCATTTGTTGCCTTATTTTCTTCCTAATTCATAACACTGGCTGCTATTTTAGCAGCAGGGAAGTATTGACTTCGCTTTCGTTATTGTTACAACCCCAGGGTTTCATTCCTAAGTGGTAGCAGCTATTTCGGAGCCCATCATTACGTACGTAGGTTATAACTGTACTTTTGTACATGCGCTGTTCTGCACATAACCTATGTTGAATTTCAGATGTTTCTCACTTTCCTGCTCAGTGTCAGACTAAAGAAATCTGATGAGATTGTGCTCACAGGGGACATTTTTAATCATAGAATCACAGACTGGTTTGCGCTGAAGGGACCTTAAAGCTCACCCAGCTCCAACCCGTGCCACGGGCAGGGACACCTTCCACTAGAACAGGTTGCTCCAAGCCCCTGTGTCCAACCTGGCCTTGAACACTGCCAGGGATGGGGCAGCCACAGCTTCTCTGGGCAAGTTAACATCACTGTTGTTAAAAATCTAAGCTAGTTTAGCCAATGTTGAATGAAAGGTGAGAGCTATTGCTCCAAAGACCTTGCTGTCTGAGTAGTCAAAGGAAGAGGGAGGGAGGCAGGTACAGAAAGTGTCTTGCCCAAGGTCATGCAGAAGGTTGATTGGAGAGTTGGGATTACACCCTATTGCAGTATACTTGAAACTATGCAACCAAAACCTGCATTCCTTGATTTTTTTAATCATAGACAATGTGCTCTTGGCCTTGAATTTTGGATTCTGAAGCAGATTCAGCTTAGAGGAGGGAGATGTAATTTGTGTGCTGCAGTCTCTAAGCACTTGGCATTTGAGGTGCTTATCTGAAAACAGGCTCCTGTGGTAGGTTTCTCTGAGTGTGTCGGGGTATTTTACCCTTTGCAGGGGGAAATGTGCATTGTAAACCTATGTAGTTTTCATAAAGATAGAAGGAATAACGTGGAAGGCTTCAAAGAGGTTCTTAAACCTCTTAAATCTGTCTTGCTCAGCAAGCAAAAGTCTAACAAGGGAGTACTTTCTGTCCTTGCATCACTTGGTGCAAGAGGCCCCAGGCAACACATGGATTCATCCCATGTTAAGTTAAATCAAAACCCATGCCTGGGGTTGTTCCTCCCCAGTTGCAGGACTTCTCCTTGAGCTTCACCACATTCCTGCCAGCCCTTTTCTCCAAGCTGTCGAGGTCCCTTTGGAATATCAGACATTCCTCCCATGTTGGTGTCATGTGCAAACCAGCTGAGGATTACACTGCCCCCATCATCCGCATCATTAACGAAGGTGTTAAACAGGACTGGACCAGTACAGACCCCTGGGGTACACCACTAGTAACTGGCCTCCAACTAGGCTTTGTACCACTAACCACCGCCCTCTGGGACCAGCCAGTTTCAGTCTACCTTGGTGTCTGCTCATCCAGCCCATACTTCAACGGCTTCTTCTTGCAGGAGACAATGATTGAAAGCCTTATGGAAGTCCAGGTAGACCTTATCTGCTGCTCTGTCATTGTCTACCATGCCTGTCATTCCACTGTGGAAGGTTATCGAGTTGATGAAGCACAACTTCCCCTTGGTGAATCCATGCTGCCTACTACTGGTGATACTCTTGTCCTTCATAAAAACAAGTTCCAGGATGAGCTGCTCCAGAATCTTAGAAATAAATCAAAGCTCCCTAAAGACTGGAAAAGACCAAGAGCATCCATCCAGCTCAGGGCAGCTTACAGATGCATCTGGCACTGCTGATGTGTTCCTGACTGGGTGCAACTGCAATCCTGTTCCATTTCCCAATAAACCAAGAGCTTGTAATCAAGGAGAACTTACTATATTGCTTACAAGCACTTTCTGTACCCGTAACTGCAGTACTGTGTGGTAGTGGTTGACTCCTTCAGAGAACCCATGCCTTTAGATGCTGAGGCAGTTGTGCTTAAGA